TACTTCTTAACATGACAGAAATGCATTGTATGTCCGAGTCTCCCTCTCTTGTAAATCCACTCAGTTGTAATTTCCACGTGAGGCACACCTCCGCTCCATGATAGGATTGGCAGGAACAATAAAACTTTTTTTCTTATTCCTGCATTTGTCCATCCCCTAAAACTTCCTCTAACTTCATTACATATTTTGAGTACAATGAATGAAGGATTGCATCCTGCATCCAGCAACAAAGGACACTGACATTCTCTGTGTCCTTCTAATAAATAATATTACTTTTATTTGCCACATACATTTCTAAAGTCTTTTGTACCAGTGTTGGATAGAACAATATGCCAAATATACTTTTTCCTTTTTTGTTTCTTATTAAAGAGAAAGTTGCATTTTTTTATGCAAAGATACTGAACTACAGAAAATACTTATCCAAATTCATGATAATATTGACAAACTCAGAATATGTTAAGCAAATTAGGCTCCTTTTAATATGAAAAAAGAACAACAAATGCTATACTGTGTGTGGCCACCAAGCCTCGAAAAGTCATTCTCATGTGACCTTCGCTCTGGTGGTAGATGTAAGGTGCCTTACGGACTCGTGTTGCAGACTGAGCAGATGTCTCCCCCCGAGTTGCCGCCCTCGTTCTCGCCTGCCACGACTCGTCGTTCCTCAATAGGTGGGATTGGTCGTCGGGTGTACTCAGTGGCCCGTGGTTCTCTTGGTGGTTATTCACGGGGCTCCACCATCCCTATACCCCAGCCTCACGCCTCCTTCAGTGCATTGTCCTTCTGTTGGCCTCGTCCCCTCTGGTGGGATAACGCCTCACAGCTTGGCGTCTAGATGCCTGTGGCCTATGGCCAAGTTCGCCCATGTGGGCCTGCCCCCTTGACCCTCCTTGCCTCCACCCCTTCTTTCGAGGAAACACAAAAAAACCTTCCAAGGCTCCTCCTCAGCCCCATTCCTCGGGGGTACCCCGCACTTTCCACTCTTCCCCTTCGCATGGGGCAACTAAATAAAATGCATTAACAAAACACAGAATAATGAGCCACTTCCTGATGTGGCTGCGCCCTGCCCCCTTACTATCCTTCCCCTGGCTCTAGCTGGGGGGGCACTTTACTCCTGGCCCGTCACCTCCAGGATTCACTCCTGTTCTCCCGTCGGCCCAGCTGGGACCGGCGGCAATACCCACCCCAATTGTAAACCTCTTGGGGCTCTCCCAGGGTCTTCTCTCTCTGGCGTGGCTTCCTCCTTGCCCTAGTCATCCCAATACTCCCACCTGGGGTCTGCTCGGGCTCCGGGTGCAGCTCTGGTTCCATCCCTGGGGCCAGCGTGCCTGTTGCTCCCTCGCTGTCCTGTGCATGCTCCTGTCGGGGTGCTCTGCCCCGCACTGCCAGCATCTGCCCCCAGCTCATTGGGCTCCATGGGTCCCATGGGGAGGATCCTTTTCTCTCCCTATGGCAGCTGCAGTTCCCCTCTCGTGCTGCTCTCCCTCCTGCCCTCTGCGGCATTGGCCGCCATTTTTATTTCCACCAGCCAGCTTTTGAGGCTGACATCACCAGCCAGCCTTAATTGAATAAAGAGGCGACTGACGAGCTGCGCAGGCTCTTCCTTCCACCCCTGCTGTGCTGCGTCTCCTGCTGCTGGTGAGTACCCCTCGTTACTTGTTTCCCTGGGACACTGTGCTAGAACCAGGTGGGAAAAAAATCAGAAATTCCACTAACACAGGGAGGAAGAGGAAGATCACTTCAGATTTCTTTACGATTTCGTACAGATTTCTGTTGCCCTTGTTTATAACCTGTTTCCTGATTTCCTTTGAATAACTAATTTCAAAACTCTGCCCCACCTTCTTTTCACATAACATCTAGGGATGAAAGGGCTGTTTTAAAAATGATCTTTCCAAAGAAGCAGTGAAAAAAAATCTTTTATTTATAAAGTAACATTGCAAATCATTACTAAACTGTATCCTAAGACAATACTGCATGAATATACTGACCTTTCACCAGTACAGAAGTTATTTTATTTTACAGACCATTAATCAGTGAAACAACAATGTAACTATATCTGATAACCTACAATCTTCTTCCAAACTCATTGAGATTTGGAAACTAGCAAAAAGCAGATATAGCAGGATGACTAACAGACTGCAAAATATTTACAGATTTAAAAAAATAGTAAGAAAGTGTAAGCAAGCATAAACTGGTGAAATATTATTTTTCTTTACTCTGCTTACATGAGAATTCATTCCAGGATTCTTTTGCCCAGCCCATTTTAAAGGGAACTTTCAAAAAAGTAAAAAAATTAAGTTCCCATTTTTATTTCTTTTTCTCATACTTGGAAAACTAAAGGTTGTTCTTAAAAACAAACGAGCAATGCATTTCTTACAGTAGAAAATCATGTCTTGTTTATCTAGGAAGACTTTATGGAGAGGTAGTGAAGCAATGACTTTGAAAATAAAATGACACCTGAGCTGTTGAGAGTGGAAAGGTTTTTATTCAGATCACTTGTAACAGTATTCTTTGTTAACTTTTGGAAGAACTTTTATATGTACAGTTTGGAAAAAAAGATATCTTTGTGAAAGATCCAACACTACAGGCATATTCAGTGAAGGTAGGAGAATTATATCCCTGACACACACACAAGAAATCCTCCACTGAAATTAGGGAAAAGCCAGACCTGTGATACACGACAGTCAAAAGACAAACAAATAAGCAAGAACAGCTTCCTCACATAAAAGCTAACTGAACTTTACCGGGAACCAGCTGACAGGAAGGGGCAGGGCCTGGCACATATAAATCCCAGGCGTGAGGCCAGGAGGGCAGTTCTCTGCTGGTGGCCCAGGGAGAAGGAGCTCGGCCAGTGCAGACAGAGGGAAAAAGCCTGACTGCACGAGCAGCCACTGACTGATGCTATGGGTTGGAGCATTCCCCAGTAGGAATTGAATGTTGTTTTGGCCGGACGGTTTAGGTTTTTTTATGTTATAGCCCAAGGGCTTTGTGTTTTGTGTTCGCTGTTTATCTGGAAGACCGGATGAGGCTATTAGGGGTTGGAGGAGACCTCACAGGGGCTCCACGGCATCATGGGGACCCCGGTGCCAGAAAGGGCACGGCCCTTTGGGTGCACTGACCCCAGCCCCAAGGCGTGGGGCAGTGAGAACCCCCATAGCGAGGGGAGCTAGGAGAAGCCTCAGAGCGAGGGGCAGAGAGAAACCCCAGTGAGAGAGAGAGAGGGAGAGAGCCCAGAGAGTGAAGGGGGCGGTGAGGAGCCCAGAGAGCAAAGGGGGTGGTGAGGAGCCCAGACAGTGAAGGTGGTAGGAAGCCTCACCAAGAGGGGGCAGCAGATCGCCAGGAGGGTCCAGGACGAGATAGGACGGCGGAAGCCCAGGGAAGTCATGAAGAGGGCCAAATTACAGCAAGGTCCAGGTTAAAACCACATCAGTAACATCTATGAGGCTTGGGCTGCAGTGTAGGGGAGGAAAAAGGAGCCGCAGATAGCGCCCCCTGGCCACCGGGGTGAATAACATGGACAGCCTCCTGCTAATTACATCAATTAATTAAGATCAAGGCATGGCAGGCGAGTAAGCAGGCGGTTGGCCCGTAACAGGAGGGCGGAGTCACCAATAGAGAGGCTCCAGTACAGATACTCCTGTCACACTCCTACATTAGCAGCACCAAGATCCCTGGCATAGCTAATCTGTTGCCTGTTGCTTCCATTTTAAGCACACCGGGCACGCCTATACAAGACGCTTTACTGTGCATTACAATGTCACCGCTTATACGTGCATGGGATTTACTGTGCAGTAAATTAAGCTAATGCACCATTAGCTAATACCGGGAAATACAGGTACTAAATTAATGGTGCATTAGCTACCGCGCAGTAACACATGTCGATTCTGACCAGCCGCAATTTGCTCCCCGTCAGCCCAGGCAGCCCTGCTGCTGCCTGGTGAAGCCCTGATGTGGGGGAAGCTGTGCCCACTGCAGGGGAAGCCATCTCCCTGCCAAGAGGGGACCTGGACGGGTCCTGATCCCCATGTGCCCGGAAGAGCTGTGCTGGCAGCAGGGGCAGCTGTCTTTCCAGCCATGTAAGGATCTAGACAGGTCCCGATCCCCATGTGGCATGGACACAAGTCTTCCCACCCCGCAGAGATCAGGACCTGCCACAGTGCCTCTGGGGGCAGAGGGAGCTGTCCCTGCTCAGGGGCTGCTCCCTCGCAGCTGTGGGGAGATCAGCTTGTGCCCTATGTATCTATACAGGACACACACACACGCACTTTGGTTATAACATATACATATATGCCACATATACATAAAGCACAAGTCTTCACGGGTTGAAGCTTCCTTCACCAGACACCTTCTATTCGTCTTCAGGCTATCCCAGCTACCTCGCTCTGTCACGCCACCCCGTGCATCAGCGCTGTGACAGAAAGAGGCCTGCTCAGAAGCACGTCTAACCTGAAGAGGAAAAGCAAAGGGGAAAAGCCTTGGGCATCTTAAATGCGGCTCCCTGTTAGCTCGGGTGCTCTGCTGGGCACGGCCTTCCTATGCAGTGTCACCTGGTACAAGTGTCCCCACCTGAATAGCTGGGCGGGGGGGAAGCGCAGGGAGCAGCAGGGCCCTGCTCCAGCTCGGGGGGAGCGCAGAGAGCAGCAGGGCCCTGCAGGGCTGGGGGCAGGGAGCAGGGAGGCCGGCGCAGGGCTCGGGTTTCAGGCGGAGGACACCGCAGGCCAGCCGAGGCCGGAGTGAGCAGGGCGGCGCGGAGGGGCGAGCGGGCGAGGCAGCGC